GGAGATGTCTTTAATTTGAAATAAAAGTAAGTCTATTTGAAGAAATTTTTTCAATGATATTGGCAATGTATAGTTATGGCAAGGTTCGGGCAATGGACTTACTGTCTTTCAGTTCATATTGTTCATACTGCAATTAGTTTTGTCAGCCTGTTTGAGCCCTGGCTGATGCACCTGTGAAAGTAGTGGAAGGTGGTCCAAATAATTGGGATCCCATCACTCATATGGGAGACCCATATGGGACTCTGGGTTCCTAGACTCAGCCAGGTCCAGCCCTGGTTGTTGTGGCCATTGGGGAGTGACCCAGGGAAAAAAAAGATCTCTCTCTCTGTGTCTGTCTGTCCCTCTCTCTATGTCACTCTGCCTTTCAAATAAATAAATATATATATTAAAAAATCACTTTGAGTGTGGCATAGAGGATAAATAATGCACATGCAAAGAGCAGTAAGAAGGGTATTTTTATACTCCAAGGAGGAGATTATAATAATTTAAATTAAGAGGATAGCCAAACACCTTGGGAAACAAGAATAATTCTTAGGATGTGTTCTATATGTCATTCTCCCAAAAGCAATTTATACATTCAATGCAATACCAATCAAGATACCAAAGACTTTCTTCTCAGATCTGGAAAAAATGATGCTGAAATTCATATGGAGACACAAGAGACCTCGAATAGCTAAAGCAATCTTGTACAACAAAAACAAAGCCGAGGCATCACAATACCAGATTTCAGGACATACTACAGGGCAGTTGTAATCAAAACAGCATGGTACTGGTACAGAAACAGATGGATAGACCAATGGAACAGAATTGAAACACCAGAAATCAATCCAAACATCTACAGCCAACTCATATTTGATCAAGGATCCAAAACCAATCCCTGGAGTAAGGACAGTCTATTCAATAAATGGTACTGGGAAAATTGGATTTCCACGTGCAGAATCATGAAGCAAGACGCCTACCTTTCACCTTACACAAAAATTTACTCAAAAAGGCTTAAAGACTTAAATCTACGACCTGACACCATCAAATTATTAGAGAGCATTGGAAAAACCCTGCAAGATATAGGTACCGGCAATGACTTCTTGGAAAACACCCCAGAAGCACAGGCAGTCAAAGCCAAAATTAACATTTGGGATTGCATCAAATTGAGAAGTTTCTGTACTGCAAAAGAAGCAGTCAGGAAAGTGAAGAGGCAACTGACAGAATGGGAAAAAATATTTGCAAACTATGCAACAGATAAAGGGTTAATAACGAGAATCTACAAAGAGATCAAAACAACCCACTTAAGAGATGGGCCAAAGACCTCAATAGACATTTTTCAAAAAAGGAATTCCAAATGGCCAACATGCACATGAAAAAATGTTCAAGATCACTAGCAATCAGGGAAATGCAAATCAAAACCACAATGAGGTTTCACCTCACCCCGGTTAGAATGGCTCACATTCAGAAATCTACCAATAACAGATGCTGGTGAGGATGTGGGGAAAAAGGAACACTAACCCACTGTTGGTGGGAATGCAAACTGGTCAAGCCACTATGGAAGTCAGTCTGGAGATTCCTCAGAAACCTGAATATAACCCTACCATTCAACCCAACCATCCCACTCCTTGGAATTTCCCAAAGGAAATTAAATTGGCAAACAAAAAAGCAGTCTGCACATTAATGTTTATTGCAGCTCAATTCACAATAGCTAAGACCTGGAACCAACCCAAATGCCCATCAACAGTAGACTGGATAAAGAAATTATGGGACATGTACTCTATAGAATACTATACAGCAGTCAAAAACAACGAAACCCAGTCATTTGCAACAAGATGGAGGAATTTGGGAAACATCATGCTGAGTGAATTAAGCCAGTCCCAAAGGGACAAATATCATATATTCTCCCTGATCGGCGACAACTGAGCACCAAAGGGGAAACCTGTTGAAGTGAAATGGACACTATGAGAAACAGTGACTTGATCAGCTCTTGTCCTGACGGTTGATGTACAATGTGATACTTTATCCATTTTAGTATTTTTTTTGTTCCAGTACCACTGGATGAACTCTGTAATTAACACACAATCATTCTTAGGTGTTTAAATTTTAACTGAAAAGTGATCCCTGTTAGGAATCTGGAAAGCATTGTGCTGAGTGAAATAAGCCAGTCCCAAAGGGACAAATACTATATGTTCTCCCTGATAGGTGACAACTAACTAAGCACCAAAAAGGAAACCTGTTAAAGTGAAATGAACACTATGAGAAATGGTGACTTGATCAGCCCTTACCCTCACTGCTGATGCACAACTTAATATGTTATCCCTCTTAGTATTTTTTTTGTTTGTTCTACTTAATACTTTTGGTTCAATACTGTAATGAATACTGAAAAGTGATCACTGTTAAATGTAAGAGTGGGAATAAGAGAGGGAAGAGATGTGCAATTCGGGACATGCTCAAGCTGACTTACCTCAAATGGTAGAGTTAGAAACATACCAGGGGATTCTAATTCAATCACATCGAGGTGGCATGTACCAATGCCATCTCACTAGTCCCAGTGATCAATTTCTGTTCACAATTGATCATAATGATAGGACTAAGAGCCAAAGGGATCACATAAACAAGAATAGTGTCTGCAAATACTAGCTGATAGAGTAAAAGAGGGAGAGAATGGTCCAACATGGAAAGTGAGATACACAGCAGACCCATAGAATGGCAGATGTCATAAACAGCACTCTGGCCTCAGAATCAGCCCTTAAGGCATGCGGATCCGGCTGAAAAGCCCATGAGACTATTTCAGGCATGGAAAGCCAAAACACTCTGAAAAAAAAAAAAAAAACTAAATGAAATATCTCCGCAAGTGAGATCCCAGTGGAAAGAACAGGTCATCAAAGAAGGAGGTACCTTTCTCTGAAGGGAGGAGAGAATTTCCACTTTGACCATGGCCTTGTCTAAATATTATCAGAGTCAGTGAACTCAGGGGGATTCTATAGCCTTGGCAGCTCAAGACAAGAGCCTAGGGTGATTACTGAGGCCATCAACAAGAGTGTCAATTTGTTAAGTCAACAACATGAGTCACTGTGCACTTACTCCTCATGTAGGATCTTTGTCCTTAGTGTGCTGTACATTGAGATTTATTGCTATAACTAGTACTCAAACAGTATTTTTCACTTTATGTTTCTGTGTGGGTGCAAACTGTTGAAATCTTTACTTAATGTATGCTAAACTGATCTTCTGTATATAAAGAGAATCGAAAAAAAAACTGTATATATGAAGTACATGAAATTTGTTGTTTTTATATAAATAAATAAAGTAATATTGTTAACACTTACAAAGGTAAAAAATAGTAAGGAGAGAAGAAATATGCAAAATGAGTAATTCTAGCATTTTGGTTTATTCACCTGGATGAATGGTAGTTTTATATGTTAGTACAGAGATAAAAAAAGGAAAAAGACCAATTTTGAGGTCCTGTTTTAGAAAGTTGTCTTGAAAGTGCTTTTGATGGGCAGGTATTATGGTGTAGCAGATTAAGCCCCCAACTATCACAACATGGGCATCTCATAAAGGCGCCAGTTAGAGTTCCACTATTCCACTTCCCATTCTGCTGCCTTCTAATGTGCCTGGGAAAGCAGCAAAGGATGGTCCAAGTGTTTGGGCCCCTATCACCCACATGGGAGACCTTGAAGAAGTTCTGGCTCCTGGCTTAAGCCTTACCCAGCCCTGGCATTTGTGGCCATCTGGGGAGTGAGTCAGCACATGGAAGATTCTCTCTCTTTCTCTCTCTCTCTCTATAACTCTGGCTTTCAAACAAATAATGATTTTTTTTAATAAAATTGTTTTGAGACTTTAAAGTCTTAGGAACTTTGGTGAGGTGCTTTCTCTGCAACTTGGTTAACTCCAACTTGGTTAATATCCAAAATGAGCTGTTTATTTTAATCAACTTGCTAGTTCTTACTGGGATTATAAGTCTATCATTGTGCTTCCAATTTGAGTATAAGGAAAAGCAGAAGGTGAAATGTGTGAAATAACAGAGGATCTAATTTGATGTTGATAAAAAAAAGGAACCTAAATGCATGCCTATGAAAAGGAATATATGGCCTGCACCGCGGCTCACTAGGCTAATCCTCTGCCTTGTGGCGCTAGCACAGCAGGTTCTAGTCCCGATTGGGGCACCGGATTCTGTCCCAGTTGCCCCTCTTCCAGGCCAGCTCTCTCTGTGGCCAGGGAGTGCAGTGGAGGATGGCCCAAGTCCTTGCGCCCTGCACCCCATGGGAGACCAGGAGAAGTACCTGGCTCCTGCCATGGGATCAGCGCGGTGCGCTGGCCGCAGTGCGCTGGCCGCAGCGGCCATTGGAGGGTGAACCAACGGCAAAAGGAAGACCTTTCTCTCTGTCTCTCTCTCTCACTGTTCACTCTGCCTGTCAAAAAAAAAAAAAAAAAAAAAAAAAAGAATATATGTCCTGGAAATGGTATGATGAAACTATAATTGAAGGACAATCTTCTGATAGCAAGACTGAAGCAAGAGATAAATTAACAGATGAAAAATAAGGTAATGCACTGAATTCATGAAGGCATAAATTGTAGTGACTCTGGCAAAAAGCAGTTCAACATTTTAGAGAGTGTGTAGGATGCATTAGCAGGATTTGACAACATAAATCAGAACATAAAAGAGAAACCACAAATAATAGCTTACATTTTCTCAAGCTTTGCAAATGAAGATGCTGGAGCCACAAGAATATATCCAAAGGAAATTATCCAGAGGCTTAAGGATGATTTGTTTATTATCTGGCATGCTGAGTGAAGCTATGTCATATTTTAAAAACCAAACTACCTTCTTAAAGGAAAATAATGTACTCACTAGCAGAAATAATTGGCTAGGTATACCTTTTCTCTTGAAAATAGTATTGACTAACATTTTATAACTATATGTAGAGTTTTATTTGAAAATTAGTACTGCTGAGACTAATTTATGTAACTTATTCTAAAAGTTCTATTCTTTTTTGTTCTCTGATTTTAAATTTCAGCTCCATGTGGTGGCCATTTTTCAGCTCCAAGTGGAGTGATTCTCTCACCAGGATGGCCAGGATACTACAAAGACTCTTTGAATTGTGAGTGGGTGATTGAAGCTGAACCTGGACACTCTATCAAAATTACATTTGAAAGGTCTCTGCAATTTTTTTAACCTTACCTTAAAGATTATCTAAAAGAATAGTTGATATTCTGTTTAATTTACTAAATCAATGTATATTTTTATTGTAATAGTTGTCGTGCGTTGAATACTTCAGACTACTTACCCCTTTCTAACCTTTCAGCCTGTTTTGAAGTTAATTTTCTATTTGTGTAATGCTGTATCAATACTATTGAAATATGCAAGAACGACCTTTTTGCTTTATATATATGCACACTACTAAGACATAAATATGTGACCTTTACTTAATGAGTATAGTTGTCCTATATTTTGAAGGGCCTGCAAATTCTGTTCTGCTAGGTTTCAAGAGGCAAAGATGCTGTAAAGATAATCAAATCAACACTGTATTACAGCCTAAGACACTTATGCATACTACCCATATACCGAAACTTACACGTGCTTCTGAAAAATGGCTGTGTCAAGTCACTATATTAATGATCAGACAGTTGACCTTTTCTCCCCCCTTCCCTGGAAAAATTGGTATTACTAGTCAACTGATGTATTTCAGGAAATACTGTAACAATGAATATTTAAAATGTTAAAAGAATGAAGCTTCTGATCTATTATGAGTTGCTATTCACAAACTAAAATAGAATTACCTATGTAGATTCACAATTATATTATTGACTCCAATCATCTCCCAACCCATTCCTTAAAAACAATTAAATAAATCTCTGTATGCACTGAATCTGGTTGATACACATATAAATACGGCATGATATTTTTGTTGTAGCCTGATGATTTTGTTTCAAAGACCTAACATGATCGTTTCTTCACTCAAGAGGTCCCACACAGAATAAATTTATCTATTCTAGTGTTAAAGTTTGTGTGGAGAAAAGATTCTGTTTTGCACAAGTGTGGACATTTCTTATGGGATCATCCTATCTTACTGTGATCTCTAAAACCTTACCATACTAATTTGCTAAGATTGCCATAGAAAAGTACCGCAGATTATGTGATATAAACAACAGAAATTCATTCTCAGCATTCTGGAGGCTTGAAGTCCAAGATCCAAGTGTTAACACACTTCTGTCTTCACAGTCTTCTCTGTGCATTTGTCTGTGTCCTAATCTCCTCTTATAAGCATAGCAGTCATATCAACTTCAAGCTCACACTTATGACCTCATGTTTCTTTACTTCTTTAGAGGTCCTTTAAAAATTTCACTGTGTGAATTGAGAAGGGACATAGATCAGCCCATAACAATGATTTAAACATTTAAAGGAAGTTTACACTTAGAATAACATTATTAACATGACACTTTTTTTCACTGTTTTGTTAAAATCTTAACCTCTATTCATGGGTGACAAGTTTTGTAATGCCATAACAATTGTAGAAAGCTTGAAAAGCATCTTATTTATTAATTACCAAATCTTCATCACATATCATCATCCCAACCAATGAACATAACTTTATGACAAAATTTTCTCTTGGTTTCAAATATACAGTATTGCATGATATTGTTGATTATATCTTCAAATAATTTTAATTATATTGATTTGAGATAAGATGAAAAAGATTCAGTACATATTTTTAATTTGTTAAATTTAGAACATTACATTTGAGAAGTAAGCATATTTATAAATCTATCATAACTAATCACATATTCAAATAAATGCATTTATTAAACATTAAGTACATGATTTAGTATTTCCTCTTTTGGACTTAGCATTTATTTGTTTTAGGAGTTAGGCTGTGAAGATGATTGGAAATGTGTTTTTTACATGCTTTATTTGTATTTTTCATAGTTTTTTTTTATCACTCAGGTAGTTCTTACAAGTTATTCTTCAACATCCAGATAAAAAGATCTGAGCCCCATCCCATGCACAGAGGGAAGTCTAGTCTCTCTTAAATTCTCGGAGAATTTCTGGGGGTGCTTTGGTTCAGTGCTGGCTAGGCATCCTTCTCCCAGAATAGTCTCACTTGTGAGATCCTGAGGTTATTGTCCTTTCTTAATATTACTCCTAATTGTATTAACTTCCTTCATTAGCACACACACACACACACTACAGGGGCAGCAATGCAGTGTAGCAGTTATGTTACCATTTGGGATACTAGCACCTGTATCTGAGTACCTGGGCTCATGTCCTGGTGCTACTTTTAAGGATTTATTTATTTGAAAGTCAGAGAGAGAGAGAGAGAGAGAGAGAGAGAGAGAGATCGTCTATCTGCTGGTTCACTCCCCAGATGGCCACAACGGCTGAGGCTGGGCCAAGTGGAAGCCAGGAGTCAGAAGCTTCAACCCAGTCTCCCATGTAAGTGGCCGAAGCCCAAACACTTGCACCGTCTTCTGCTGCTTTTCCCAGGCCATTAGCAGGGAGCTGGATTGAAAGTGGAATAGACAGGACACAAACCAGAACCAATATGGGATGCTGGTTTCATAGACAACAGTTTAACTGGCTGTGCCACAGTGCTGGACCCATCTACTTTTGATTCAGCTTCCCAAAAATGTACACCCTGAGAGATAGCAGATGATGGATCAAATACTTGAGTCCTTTCCACCTGTGTGGAAGACCAAAATTTGGTTCCTGGCTACTATCTTCATCCTGGCATTAGGGGAGTGAATGGTGGGTAAATGAACCAGTGTATAAAAGATTCTCTCTCTCTCTCTCTCTCTCTCTCTCTCTCCCTCTCTTCCTCTTAAAGGAGAGGAGAGAAGTGAAAAAAGAAATAAGGATAGGAACAAAGAAAGAAAATATAAGTGGATTATTGCACAATCTAGAATTATTAAAGATTGAATAAGCCTTCATTGTCCTGAATTTCCCTGATAAATCATCATTACAGTGGAAATTGTTAGTATTACTCTAGTTCTCCCTGTTGCTCCACACCCTTTTTCTTTTTTTTTTTTTTTCGTTTTGTTTTGTTTTGTTTTGTTTTTTGGCAGGCAGAGTGGACAGTGAGAGAGAGAGACAGAGAGAAAGGTCTTCCTTTACCGTTGGTTCATCCTCCAATGGCCGCTGCGGCCAGTGCACTGTGGCCCACGCACCACGCTGATCCGAAGCCAGGAGCCAGGTGCTTCTACTGGTCGCCCATGTGGGTACAGAGCCCAAGCACTTGGGCCATCCTCCACTGCCCTCCCGGGCCACAGCAGAGGGCTGGACTGCTGCTGGACTGGAAGAGGAGCAACTGGGACAGAATCTGGCTCCCCAACCAGGACTAGAACCTGGTGTGCCGGCGCCGCAGGCAGAGGATTAGCCTATTGAGCCGCCGCACCGGCCCAGACCCTTTTTTAATCTCTTCCCCACTTAGGATCTACAACCTTCTTTAATGTACCCTTCCTGAGTATAGCAGGGTAAACCTCAAAATATCTGTTGTTTTATCATGTAGAGAAACTATCTATTTGTTTATGTGAGCACCCAACTGAGTGATGGTGAGGAATTGGAAAGGATCAACCTTTTTACAAACATGCTTATTAAGATTTTTACTCTAAACCAAAGAGCAATGTTCTCTTATGAAGAATGTACCTGTTCCCCTAAATTCTACCTAATTGAAAATGTACCTGATTTTTAAAATAACATTTTCTTTTATTCCTTTTATATCCAATTTTTAAATTCAACCTAAATTAATATTACTTAAAAATTTGCTTAAGCTTTATGAACACAAAGTACATTATTATGTTGAAAGGCATTCCCTGGTCTGCTATTGGGATTCATTAATCATCATTAAATAAATAAACAGCTGGTGTCTTTTAGACCAAAGCAGGCTCCTTAGAGTTGCCTGTTTGACAAGTAGCATGAAGGTAATACCTGCAATCCAGAGCATCCTGCGTCTGACTTTTAATTTTGGACTTTTGTTGGAAGACACTGTTTTTTTAATCCAAGATTTTAAATATGGATCTTACACCCCTTTCAACATGTTACATGAGCCTCTTTGCTGTTTGTCTATCTTCTTTAAAAACTTTTGGAAATTGTGTACTCTGTATATTCTGTATTTTAAGTTAGACCATCCTAAAGTGAAATTTTTTTTCAATTTTTTAAAAGATTCATTTATTTGAAAGGCAGAGTGACAGAGAGAAAGGAAGAGGGAGACCAATCCACTGGTTCACTCCCCAGATGACTGCAATAGCCATGGTTGGGCCAGGACAAAGATCTGCACTCAGAACTCCACTCAGATCTTCCATGTGGGTGGCAGGGACTCAAGTACTTTAGTCATCATCTACTGATTTCCCAGCAGCATTATCAGGAAGCTGGATTCGAAGCCCAGTACTTGGGATTTGAACCCAGCACTCTGGTGTGAGATGTAGGTGAACCAAAGGATGTCTTTTTTTTTTTTAAATTTTATTTAATGAATATAGATTTCCAAAGTACAGCTTATGGATTACATTGGCTTCCCCCCACCCCCAATGACTTCCCTCACACCCACAATCCTCCCCTTTCCCGCTCTCTCTCCCCTTCCATTCTTATCAAGATTCATTTTCAATTTTCTTTATATACAGAAGATCAGTTTAGTATACATTAAGTAAAGATTTCAACAGTTTGCACCCACATAGAAACACAAAGTGAAAAATACTGTTTGAGTACTCGTTATAGCAATAAATCTCAATGTACAGCACATTAAGGACAGAGATCCTGCATGAGGAGTAGGTGCACATTGACTCCTGTTGTTGACATTACAAATTGACACTCCTGTTTATGGCATCAGTAATCTCCCTATGTTCCAGTCATGAGTTTTCAAGGCTATGGAAGCCTTTTGAGTTCACCGACTCTTATCTTATTTAGACAAGGTCATAGTCAAAGTGGAAGTTCTCTCATCCCTTCAGAGAAAGGTACCTCCTTCTTTGAAGACCTGTTCTTTCCACTGGGATCTCACTCACAGAGATCTTTCATTTAGGTGGTGGTGGTGGGGGGTGTGGTGGTTTTTCTATATATTTTTTATCTTTTTTTTTTTTTTTTTGCCACAGTGTGTTGGCTTTCCATGCCTGAAATACTCTCATGGGCTTTTCAGCCAGATCCGAATGCCTTTAGGGCTGATTCTGAG